GACCGTTCGAGCAGAAGAAAACATCGATATTTTTTTCTGAGATAGTACGAAGAAGATATCGACCACCTCGAATCAACATTATGCACAAAAATGGTCGCTTCGTGTACAAAACGACACTTGGACATTCACTATCATCTGTATAAAGTGCAGCTCACTATGCGAACGCTTCCGCCAGAACACATAAACCCCATAAAAGAACTGGCCTGGACGGGTGACTGCTTTCGGTGCAGACGGACATGTTGTGATTAATTGTCTCTTTTGAAAAGTAAAGCCTATTCAAGCAATAACAAAGGGCGAATGTCCAGGTAGTAGCAATCGCTCAATATGTAACCGCAAGTTCTGGCGGAGCTGTACTGCTCTAGTTCCAGCAAAATCTGAAAGGCTATCTAACCAAGATTTTCGACACGAATATATAATTTATGCTAGCTGAAACTGGCTTTTAAGTGTAGTCAAGTTCACTGAGGATATTGAAACGTTTTGTACATCTCGAGGAAAGACGATAAGGGGCCGTAGGTTAGGGGATTACGTTTGGCAAATAAGGACACAAGAAACATCTACCAAACATTCGACTCATTAAGTAACGAATATAGCTTTGAGCGAGTAGAGAGCCAGTAATAACACTGTAATCGTATAGTTTTGTGAGTGCATACATTTGCCTTTTTTTAGATGTCCTCTATTTTTATTTCAACTACAGGAAAATTTGACATGTAACCGAAGCTAGCCTAAAGAGTGGTAATCTGTCTGGTAATAAAGATTGACGTGTGACGAACGAGATCAAGCTCGCAGACTTGAACCAGTAAAAGAACATCGAAGAGTGGCCCAAATCAAAATAAGGAGCCGTGCAAAAAATAGGCAGGCTTCTAGCTATGGAAATACCTAATTTTTGGCATCTATCATAGAACGGAACCTTTAGGAAAGTATGATATGTTTGCATTCATTTGAAGTAAGCTAATTATCATTCGTGTGTTGCAGCTCAGTGGAAAGACTTCTACTGAAGTGGATAATTAAAAATTAAGATAATCATTCTGTGTGGCAGAACGCAATAGCGCGATGCTTATCAGAACAACTTTTAGTTCGATACTCATATACAATTAAATAGTTACCAGTTGGAAAAATCAAGTTTGCGTTAAGCTTAGGTAGGGTCAAGACTGAGGCGTGAAGTCACGTTAAAGCAACAAATAGACGGCCGAATACCGAAAACCTGTATAGAATCTGGTTAATTTATTTATGCAATTATTATATGGTTTGACGCGGTAAGCTACTCGTATAACTGCAGTTGACAATGGAAGCTGACAGCTTGTCCTATTTGACCTAATTTTTTGGAAAAAATAGAACACAATGCAACATCATTTTGTGTATAATATTTTCGTTCGCCTAGTAAAAAATACCTTAAATTTTCACAGATAATAAACGCAATGGGGTAGTGTATCAGTTATGCTCTTGGTGTTTTTCCATAGTAGGAACTATTGTTTAATTCTGCATTTCAAATTGGTCACCGAAAAGAGTCTAGGCAATGCTGTTGGTTGTATTTTCACGATTTATAGAATTGCAGGGAGAATCTACGTTGCTTGAACTCCTCCAGCGAGAACACAGTTCTTAGTAAAGCATTGACAGTAAAGTCGTAATGATCTTATTTACAACAAAGATTCGCGTTACCATCAAACATTTAGGTGTAAGTCATTTGCAAACTATAAGCCTGTCGAGCAGAGGTCATACATACACAATTACGTATAGTGTTTCCTACTTTGATAGGTCGCCTTCCGTTTAGTAAATAATATTAAATAAATATTAGGTAAAAGTGCCATTCACGTAGCTGGTGAGCTGATGCTCTGAAGTGCCTCTGCGGAAAACCCGTGCTTTTAAGATGTCGGAGAAAATCTTGTCTATTGTATGCACATCTATAACGATGGCTTTTAAATGCGGCCTAAACAACCGTTTTTAAATATATAGATTTATACCAAAACCTTAGAGACTTCATAGTTTAGCTCCCATAAACCAAATGATAGTGTTTTTAGGGATAAATGTTTTTTTTTTACAGGTTGCCTAAAGCTTGACCTCTAAAGCACATGTGAGCGCGTCATTGCGGTGACCTAAAACAGTATAAAAAAAAAATAGATCCTAGTATAGTTCGGCGTACTAGGCTCTATTTAATTGAGTACGGCTCGTACTTAATTGAGTATCCGTATTTCTAAAATAGCCTTATGGTTTCAGAGGATTCCTTATCCTAAGTGTGTGATTCTTGTGAACACTACCTTTGAGATTATAGCTAATTAGAAGAATCCCATCTGTCCATATGCTGGACTAACTATCGCTGCAGGAAAGTGACCTTTCCCATGATTCCCTGCCGTTTTACCATTTATACATTAATTCAGGACATAATATATATGAAAAAAAACGGCATTATTACGTCTGGACGACTGCAGTTTACACAGCACGTACGACTATTACTATGAAGCCCCCTCTTCCAATGATCGCAATGCAAAACACTGTTATGTTATATACGCTGTTTTTTTCTAAGTTAATGTTTGCATGCTTCTCCAAAGCCACTTTTCTCTTCTTTAATTTGCCTGGATCTTTTCTCTAAGCGTAGAATTAAACCATTCTATGTCAAACATGGCAGCAAGGTAATAAAGCTTCGTTTATTTTACGTGGCTCACACGAACCATGTAAATTATATCCATTTTTCAAATAGTAGAGATTCGTTATCGCTATTGTGAATAGACAGCGTCATCATTATGTTTTATCGTTCACCTAATTTGATACTGTTCAACATCTCTAAGTTTCAATTGAAGTACTAGTTTATTAATAACAAAATTGTTTGTGTTTGGAGGAGATTTGACATGGAGAACCTGTCGGAGCGAGTATCGACTCCTTTGATTGCATGATCATAGCGACGCGCAATACCGAACAGTAAAGTCTATAGGGCTAAGAGAATTGGCGCCACAGCTCAAATGGATTACATCGTATCACTAACGTCAACATAGGCTTTCCCAACTCCAATATTGGATTTTGTCTAGAATCAAGCATGAAGCTTCCTCACATTGTCTCGGCACATATGTTCAAGTTAGTCAGTTTTACTTTACACTAGAATTTATGGAAGTTGATGTTACCTATAAAAGCGCACACCAGATTATAGTAAGCCATGCGATTCAAGGCCTTCTTGTCAGTCTAATTTCCTGCAAACTTTTATCGTATGCTCCTTAAATGCCAGCACACGCTGAATCAGGCCGTCGATAGTTTTTCTGGTATAAATAACGATCGGAACTTTTCCCTGGTCGCTAGACACGGGCAGAAAACGCAGAAAATAGAACGCTATAAAACAGAAAATAATGTCAATAAGGAATGCTACAATATCTGTTATATGTTTTTGTCTTAGGTGTTCAGAATCGAACAAAGAAAAGCTTCTACAAATAGAAAACATCATCTCCGTCAAAAACCGAGTCAATGATTGTGAGGTATTAGCGTCGGAACAGGTACCAAAACAGGCATACGAATTAGACCAATGATTTTAGTTTGTTAATACATATATAAAAATAAGTGACCGCTTTTAAGCTGTTACTTTTGAAACGGTTCAGTAATCGGAACGTAATTTATTGACGGTTCCTTTGACTTACGCCATCCTTTGCTAGGAAATTAAGGCCATATATTAAGGCACTATAAAGATTCCAATGCCGCCTAGTTTGACAGTTATGACCGACGATAGAGAAAGAAAGAGAGAGCTCGTGACCAATACGATGCACCCATCATTCGTTTATCGTCTATACCTTAGTCCTCCATAATTAGGCATGCGTTGTTCGACCTATCGGGAAGCTCCTAAAGCGCGAATGGACCTAATGATATCGCGACGTTGTCGTTTTATTGACGTAAATATCGGTCGGGGGGCTGCAATAGGAAAATATGCGCCGGTCAGATCAAGAACCGTCGTAGCAATCGTCTCCTCTTTAGCTAAGGCTTTCACGAGGAAACAATATCCTTGATTGTAGAATGAATGATAGAACGTTTGGTCCATCCGACACTAGTCGACGTCCACACCATCGCTTTCACCTTTCTTGACCCGATTTTCACGACTGTTCATAATCGAATAGGTTTCCTAAATTAGACACTATATTCTAGCAGTGCAACAGAGAACGCTTTATCTCGTTTGAAATATGCGGTTCGGCACGAAAAAGTACCAATGAACTGTCCTTTTTAGCTGGTTGATGTTTTAGCTTTGTTTGCTAGATAATCTAATAACATATAAGACAGCACCTACCTGCTAAATCTACCAAATGCACCAAGGTACACTACACGTTTTTAACAGAGTAATATAATTTATTTTATATATATCGTTCTAGTACCTGTCGCAAGATGCTTCGTGTACATGATCATTGAAGCTGCGATAACCTATTTTCGCAGTTTTCTTACACTACGTATGCTAGGCATACGTACGCACGTACATACGTGCATACGTATGCCTAGGGGGTCGCAATACAATCTTTTAGAAAAGCTCATAATAAAAAAATATAGAAAGACATTGTTAGCCCGAAAGTCAAGAAAAAACACCTCGTTTTTTAGTCCACACAAGATAATCCATAGTTTAGTAAGCTAATAGTATTATGTAGGTATTTTGTTTGTTTAGTATTACATTAGATTGCTTTTTTTCTTATTATTTCGGTAGTGTAAGTTTTTATTATATCTACAATAAGCTCTGTCGAAACCTAAATGCTAAGTAAAGAATAGTTATTCCTGCATAAAAAATGTTTTTATAGCATTGTAGTGCTTAGACTACGTTCCTAGCAGCAAGAATCTTAATTATTTAACTGTAACATCCGCCGCAACCCTTACGACTATTAAACACGTCAATTTCAGTAATCCGTACGTTGGAGCTCGCCCTATAAGCTGTTTCTAGCTAATTGGTGGCTAATTATTGACTAACAGTTGCTTGACAGGTTTCACTCATAGCAGGACCAACCAAACAGAACAAGGTAGACGGAAAATAACGTTTATTTATTGAACTTTATTTAAACACTTGACAAATCGACTCAATTGCAAAAGTTTAGACTATGATCATGTAAACAAATAATGAAACAAGCTCGATTTCAGTTATATACGTCACAAAAGTATCCAATTGATGCCGTTGCGTCAAAGTCAGATAGTATCAGCTTGGTGATTTTTATTAGTAAGCGCATCAATGAGATAAAGTAATCGTCGTTTTCCCGACACGTAGCCGATCTTGATCTCTTGCGCTGATGTAAGCGTTTCTATAATGGTTCGTTTGGCTTCATTAATGTTTCGACACGTTACATTTTTGCCCCGTATGTGAAACTCACACAATGCACCTATGCATTACGAACATACCAATTTATTATAGAATATTATATGATCTTCTTTTATATCACTCTATAACTGAAACATTCAAGAACTTTTGCAACCGTATGTGCTTCGAATGTTTTGAATCATTTATGAAGAAGAAAACCAAGTATTGCGATACTTACCAGCTTGCAGGACAAGCCTTGCATATGGAAATTTGGCGCTCAAAACTTTGAGGACAAAATCTCTTTGTTGCCTGAGTATGTTCGCATCTGCAGATAAAATGAACACGAGGTAGTACATATTGTATAATGATATGTAATAGCTATACCTTACAGAATACAAATAGTTCTGTTACAGCTGTGTTCGCAGGACTTAATATACTTCTTATTTTAATAATACTTATTTAATATAAATATATACTTCAATTCGCTTGTTTTATGATACGTATTTAAATACAGAATTTGTTGACGGACTGTTATTAATTATCCACGAATCATCTATAAATCAGTGTTATTCATTAAAAATCAAGTTTCGACTTTAACTGTGTATGAGGCACACAGCTTTCTCGATTTGAGACAATCGTAGATATTTAATACGTACATTTTGTATCATTTACTACCGGGGCGTTTAGGCGAACAATAATATGGTATCCTATGTCAATAGACAGAAGATCAGGCAAAGTTCGAATCGTAACGAGTTCCCCGGCCGCGAGAACGGCAGCTCGATCCAACTCCAGCGACAACGCATCGTCGAGGGAAGACGAAAACACCAAAATGATAGAATCTAACAGACAAAGATGAAAATCTATCATATAATAATTTCAGTTCTACTGAGCAATCGGGAAGCCCATTGAGCATAACAGAACAAAACTACAAAGGCTGAACACGGACAGCCGAATGAGCTGCTTCTTGAAATGATAGCCTTCTATCTTTTTATTCGACTAATATAATAAAAATAGTATAACAAAACAAGTACACATTCAGCGCGACGCATCTAATGATGGGAAAAAGGTCTGCCACTTGAAAAAAGGCCAAAGATATAGAGACAGATATATAGATTTTACCTTGCTTCTTATTTGTCGGGTAGCACTTACTTTTATATGTAAACCTGGGAGTCATGCGACACTACAAGCGATACTCCCTTCATCCATATCTATTTTCATGTGAGGCAATTTTTTTTTCTAACTGTACGTTTACATCTGGCCCAAACCCTCGGAATATGTTTCCACTTACACCTGTGCCCTAGGAGTAACCTTAAACGTAAGGCGTCGTTTTCATATGTTTGTAGCCGTTAAGCATTTCAAGGTTAACCCGAGACGAGATAAAGTCTGTCCCATATTTTACATATATTCAGGACAACAATCCCTTAGGTGCGTAGAGCTCTTCTTCTCTGTTAGTGATATGATACACATACTATGAAATGAAATAATAACACACCAGACGAACATGCGTTGCCTAAATTTAGATGAGAAATGTATGAATGAGACCAAATAGCTGGGCTCGTACCAGTTTGTGCACGCTGACGACGCTTTCTGCTTAGCAGACGATATCACGTTAGCAGTGAAGTACTATTATCCTCTGGCCGATCACGTGTAATAATGGCTGCTAGCTAGTACACGTTTTCTTCTACAAGATTTCTTCCATGTGCGTGCTAGCGCGGCTATTATAGAAGGTTTGACTTTTCTCTAGAAAAAAAAACCACTAACCTTTAGACTTCAACGAGTTAATGGCATTGCAGATACGCTCCCTGTCCTGTGCTTCAACCAAATCAAGCGGATCGTTTAGAATTATTAGCGCAGGTATTCCAATGAACGCCGAGGCTATAGCCACAAGTTTTCGCTTACTGTGCGATATCGACTCAATAGCCCTGCAGACACACGAAGAAGTCAATGGTAACACACAGCCACAGCCTCATCACAATACTCATGCATTACGACGGTTGTATATTATAAATCTTTAGCAAATACCACATATACTTGGAAAATGATAAGATGTGATAGGAAGTGTGTACTAAAGTACCTGTTTTTCAATAGCAAGCTCAATAGAGCCGAAGGCAGTGCCCTGTGAAATTTCTTATAAGCATTATATCGACTGTAACACCGACGGTCCTTCTGTTACGACTAAGAATCAGTTAACACTAATGCTAAGCCTCTAAATATTGTATTGAAAGGTTAGAGAGGCCAGGTCGTTAAATTGGTTGAAATTCGATGTCTTAATTTCCAACCAACTTCTGGGTCATAACTTGTTTGCTACAAGTAACTGAATCGCAACACTATCAACTTTAAAAACTGAAAAAAAAAACATGCTAGACGTACATTTTTCGTACATCCTCAAGTCCAAAGACTCGAATCACAAGTTCGAGATGGTATCCTTGCCAGGGACCTGGAACTTCGCGAATTGTGTTGAACAGATTAAGATAATCTTCAACGATCGCTTGGTCGGGCAATCTATCTGTACTATGAGCAACGCCGATTAGGGTACGATGCTTAAATTCGAGAGGAATACGGCGTCCGGAAATATACACCTCACTGCCATCGTCAAAGTCCAGAATTCCAGCAATGCCTTCAAACAAGGTGGTACGGGTAAAACCTAAAAAATATAACGGTGTTTAGACTCCACGGTATGGACATTTCCAATGTACTGATAAATAGCAAACAAATGTTCAGCCACCCCAAAATTCGCGAATTTCTTTCCATAGTAAATGAACTTTAGACAAAGTCTGGATTCGTTTAGAAGGCTTCCAGAATTAGCTAGGTAACTGCTACATCGAAATGTATGTAATCGTTTCAAACTCGACCTATGTAGTACTCTATAAGCTAGTACTATACAATAGATGAAGTGGCAATATGGCTTGACCGAGAAAAATGCGATTTCCTAGATACAAGGGATAAACAAGATGGCAACGAATACAAAGGGCGGATGATACAAGTATTCTAGCGTCTTGTAGGTCTGTTGAAAACAACTCAGATAACTCAGCCCAACAAGATTTCTCCCGACAGCCTTTGAAGCAATACTCAAATGTAAGTATATGTAAGTTATATTTTGGATATCTTAGAAAATTCAAATGTCTGCTACTTATCTGTCAATCATTTGTAAGCGAAAGTGTAAGAAATAGTTTCAGTGAAGAAAAAATATTCATCGTGCAAAGTTAGTCAACGATACTCTGTCGCTAGAAACATATTACCCTGTCGTATTGTCCCCTATAAATAATCTGATAAACGCACCGCTCTTTCCTAAAACAACAACCAGTTCGCCAGGCTTCGCTGAAAAGTTGATATCTTTGAGCACGAAGTGGCCCTCCTCGTAGATGCATACATTTCTAAGCAATAATCCGTTCCAAGAATGAGGCTTAATTAGGTTTACGTCCTCTTTTTCTATCATACTGAAATAGTCACCATGACATTGTCGCTTCTGAAGGCGCATCTGGGCTGCTACCTCGGGATCATTAGCCCCAGGGCAGCGGGTTGTTTTTCGCAAGGCATACCGTGAAGACAGGATTTGTACGCTGTAGAAAATTATATGCAGCACTACGAGAATGACGGTACTTACTGTTCGATCCAAGCCTCCAAATATAAGAAAAGACAAAAAACATATGACCGCAATTTAGTCTAATATTAGTAGATATCAAATTAGTGATTTAAATCTTCAAGTACATCTAGATGTAAGTGTGTATATCTTTGCGCTTTTAATTTATGAGTCGATATTCTACTATCATGTAATGTTTTACAATCGATGAATCATTTTGATATGTACGTACCCTAGGGTCTTCGTAATCTCACAATCGTTCATGTGACTGGCTGTGACATATAAATGGATAAATAGTGGACGCAGTTTTTTACCCTAGAAGAAGTAGACTATCTTCAGTCCGATCATGAGCCCTTTAAGTGTGTTAGACTACTTATAAATAACGCTTAACAATGGAGGAGAAGTTACCAGAGAGTTCAATTGCCTCAATTTCTACCTGACAACATTCCGTAAGTTCACATGTAGCCATCTAGTTGAACTACAAATTGAAACAGCGATATGCCTCTGGGTTTGTATCAGCTCACGAAATATTGATAACATTTGAAATTGGTGTATGCCTGTCTTCGTGCCATCAATTGATTGTACTTTCAGGCAAAAAATAGACCACGGAAAAACCATGCTAGGAATCGTTCCAATCTTGCCACTTGATACTGTAGAAAAGGAAGATTCAGTATCATTTTTGCTTTTTCAGCTCTCTATGATATACTTTTCATTGAAAAAAAATATGTAAAATTAAACTATTCACGTACCTGCACGTAAATACCGGCAAGTGCCTTAATACCTAATCGTCATCAAGGCACCAGTGGATCTACTGAAAGCGTAATAGTTGGAATCGTGAAAATGAATTAAAACAGATTTTCTTTTTTAAAGTGACTACATAAGCCGGGGGTGTGCTGATTATACAGATATTTGTTTTAACGGTAAAGTGTTGTTCCTTGGTTGTCTAGGTGATCGTTTTAGTGACTTTGAACTAATGTGGTCGTTTCTAATTAAGCGTACCTGGCAGGTCTGCACGTAAATTGCTATATGCGTCGATGCTCCAAGCAAGACAGCTATGATCACCGGCCGGGCACGTATTTGCGCAACAATGCTTAGCTAACGCCGGATAGTATGGGCAAATGATCTCGGTGATATCAGGCTTCAAACAAGCTTTGGAAAGGAATATCGATATATGCAGGCGGCGCAGAACGAGCACCATATCTAATATCGCAAGGAGAAACAGACAACACCGGAAAAAAAAAAAGCAATTCTCATTTTCCAATAGGCAGCTAGACAGATAAGGTTAGATAATAGCATTAAATCCTAAACATCTACATACAAAGCGAACGATGCCTTCAACAGGATATTTAACCACAAGTAAAAGATTTTACGAACGGTACGCCGGTAGAATTACTGATGCTCCGAGTAGAAATACTGTAACATCGCACCCCATTTCATAAAGGAATATCTCGGCAAGGAACAGTAAAATGCTGACGACGAGATTGATCAGCAACAGCATCGGCAATAGATCATGCCGCAGCCACCGTCTGAGCGGCAACGTCGAAATAAACGCTGACGTAATGCCAGCTAGCCCAGAGCTCAGAAATACGGTCCCAACCTGAGAATTCAAAAATGCTTTCTTTCAGTTATCTTTAACATGTGAATATTATATCTCACATAATTTATCTGAACGCCCTTTTAGTCTGCCAAAATGCGCTATGTGATTTTTAGTTTCTGTCGTGAGTAACTTATAGTGAAAATAATGAGCACAAATAGAACTAGTCAAACATGGAAATAAGTGGATCCGCTCGGTCCGATCCATTAGCTTGAGACACGATAGCACTGAGCCATAACCTTGTGTGCGTATAAGTCGAATGTAGCAGTAAGATAAACGTAAGGATTCCCATTTGAGGCAATGGTTAATTGCGATACTGGAGAAGAAAGGTGGAACGTGGCAATGACAGGCAACTTTAAATGCTCTGAAATGCTTGGCCATGAATCTTATTCTAGTCATTATAAGAGTCTTCATCTGACTTCAGAATCGTAGTGTATCTGCTGCTGCTACTGCTGCTGCTGCTGCTGCTATGGGCAGAGTCACAGTTTCATTAACAGAGAACACCGGTTGCTCGTTCAGACAGCTATTTTGCATCAACCTTTTGCATCTTTGTTACGTCTTCTTTAGAAAGCAACAGTTAATATGGATACGTATACATTTAACGCACCTTAGAAGGGTAGCATACCATTACAATATTAGCAATTAGTATAGATTTACTAGGTTAGATTGATTTAACTGGTAGGTATGGCGCCCATGATCATGGCAATGAACCACAAAAATCTGCTGTCATGCAAAACTATAGTTTTGAGTACATTCATAACGGAATCCTCCGAAAAATCAAGCTACTAACGTCCAAGTATTCGAAAATTCACAGACCTTCATAGAAAAGTTACGTAGCATTTCTAAGTTCAGGAGGATTTTCATATGCAGCGTGACCATTCTGAATTCGAAGAACAGTAGCACAAGTCCGTCTGCAAATCAACGGTTCTTCTGCGTTACTTCCTTCAACAAGCGATCGTTCAGTAACTATGAAGGGTCGAAACGGGAAGCGTGTCCGCGTTACATTAACTATAGCTCGGCGAAAGCTATTATATTTATTTAGTTATACGCATAAATCCAATTGTTCTCAGTAATTGTTATGTAATAGCTCTCACGGAAGCCAGTCATTATATCTCACAAATTAGCAAGTGAATTATTTCTCTCAAGCAAAAAAACACTTATCTGTAATATATACCAATAGTAAGAGACGCACTAAGTAATTTTAGAAGTATCAGGCGGATACCGCCACGAAATTTAAGTTGAGCTACTCTAAACCGGAGCGTTTGGATCTATGATAAGCCAAAGGGTTTAAATTAGCGGTTGTTACACGTTGTCCTATGAAAACGCTTCTAGAAGTCACAGAAAAATCTAGGGTTTATCAAAAAGTTTCAAATTTTTGTCTATAAAGTCTGCTTGTTGGACTACTTTTTTGTAATTTCTTATCTGGTTTTTTGTTTAATTGTTTATTTTCAATTTCTTTTTAACTTCGACTAAACTTAGTCATGGCCGATAGAATAACTTAAAATATTTTGAAAGTAACTTTTTCAGAGCCAACTATGTCTAAGATAAGAGATTTTGCGCTTTTCTATAATTTTTCTTTTATGAAGCTACGATTTTTGGTCAAAGTACCTCGGTATACGATTGGCGTCAGGCTTCAATCTAACCGTCTCATACTCCGATGTTCAAATGCTAACATTATGTTAAGCGGCAAAAAGGGTTCTTACTAAGCTTTAGTGCCTAAATTACTGCGCCTTGGGCTGCTAGGTTAAGCCAGCTATTAAATAAGATGTGCGGAACATACGAAAAACGATTTGCACGTCACTCAGAGCATGGACTCCTCCTCTCTAAAAAAAGAATTGCTGAAAAAAGATGCCACAAGACAGCCATGTCTATAAGGACACGGTGCAACTTCGAAAAAATTGCCTAAATTGAACGGTTTGAGGGTACATTTGACGCTTGGAATCTCTAAACTATGCCTGTTGTTGTCACCAAACTACGGTTGGGCATGTCTTGTCATCTGGCAAGTGTCATCCTGTTTAATGTATTATAGCAGTCGAAGCTTGCATGTCGCATAACATATTCATGAATATAATCACATATTAGGTTATGCCGCATGTTAGAACAGCATATAAGGACGTTTCGTTTACTACGCACTTTTAATGATAGCAAATGTAATGATTCCGATCCAAAAGGCGGTCTTTCGAAGTCCAGCCTGAAGAAGGCGCGCCTTGTTGAAAAAATCGTGTGAGCAAACGAAACAATATATATCAATTGTTACAAGCGTCGTTGTAATGAGCAGGTAGCCAAACTGTGAGCTCCAAAAGAGGGCCATCAGGTTATCTGCAACGTTGATTAGGATATTCGCGATATTCTCATTAGCAAAACCGTATATTTATGCACACTGAGCGATTCTGTCATGCTTTCTGTACATCTAGCGTCTTCAAATGAAAACAAATACCTCTACATCAGCCTGCACTTAAACTTAGGTCGCTGCCAGCTATAGTATTATAGTATATTATTATTATATATTACAATATAGCTATATTATAAAGTAACAAAGGACTCGCACTTAAGCAATTTTCGGACCCTTTTGCGCAGGTCACTGAAGGCGAAGCAGAAAGTTTATTAGATTTATAGCGATAGAAGATTTATAGCGAATTGTAATGCCACGTACTCGCTAGTAGACGAATCAGGTTGCTATGTGAAGTTTCATGGTAGTACCAATTGATCCGATTGGCCGGCGCGAAGTAAGCATTGTATAGGCGGCCGAGAAATACGGCGAGATCACGCACATTTGTCACAGGTGCATGCAGAATATGAGTATTGTTTTTCGTAATCTCCAGACAAACCTGTTTAAGATAATTAACACAAGGCCTGAAACTTCTTAAAAACACGAGGCGTATCAATCTAATAATAAATGCATTCCACTATAAAACCGTTAATTAATTAGTAACTTATCGTGTGTTACTATGAAGCGCAACAGTCAGCCTTTTCTATGACCCGCAATGATTTAGCGCCACCTTCCTGTGGTAACGCTCATCTACGAAGAAATAACAGTTGAGCAAAAGAGAATGATGGGCCCTTACTATTAACCCTGGAATGTTTGGGGAAGTATGGCACCGATGTGCTAGCTAGCTTAAAGGATAAAAGGATTAAGTAGACAAATATGTTCTCAATTTTTTTAGACAAGTTCTATCCTGCAGTTGCAGGGATGTGTTCATAAATATACAAAAAAAGAGATTTTCGCAAGGTGCTGAAAATAGATTAACAGAAACATGACCAAGACGATTGGTTACCAATTCGACTGCGATAACGGCGTTTGCAGATAAATATCTGCATTCAACTTTAGACGAGACCCGAAGGAGTCTCGCTACAACGAGAAAACCCTTTGGACCTATCTGTATATCGACAGATCTCTTACACTTCTGAACAAACCCGGCAATAACTCTGACAACCGCTGCCTTAAACATCGTATATTGGCATCCTATGATCAACTTCTAAGTATATACATAGATTGGCCTTCTTGCGTATAAACCTGAAGCGAGACGAACTTAAGAGAGAATTTTTTACAATAAGCTAGGCAAAAAAATGACAACCCTTCCCTTAAGCACGAGCGGTTCCCTTACTACGACAATTATACTGTGAATCTAGAGTGTTGAAATGAACCAATCTGGCTCAGAACGTTTCTGTTTAGCCAGGTGACCTGTAAGTAGTTAAGTGGTACAAAAAAATAAAACAATTGTTACATAAGAGCGGACAAAAAGTATTGAGCCAATTATGGGTGGTTTTACATCAGCATGGGATTTTTCTCACGCCATTGGTACCCGTCGAATAAAATCCGCGTCCGCAATATTGAACTCTCATCAAGACCTTCTGTTCTGCTTATCATGCAGTACCATCATTATATCTCTAGATAACCCGTTCTTTGTCTCATTGCTAAATTGATTCCATCAAGAATGAGATATTTAAATAGTATAAACATGTATCTGAGCGGCACTATGAACTTGAAAGGGTATTTGAGAAAGGCAACCAGACACCGCAGAAAATGTGTGGCTCTACAACTGCTCCTATGAGGAAAAGTTGTGTACCTTCCAATATAGATCAAAAGTATATATGGAATTTACTGCAACCTCAATAGTTTTTCGGCCAAAACTATATTCTGGGCTTAGTTTTTAAGATCTTGCTTACATGCTTTTCGAGTCAATCCACTATCTTGTACAAGTTCTACGAAACACAGTCGTTCAAAATTACAGCCACCACAACAGAAAGCTCACAAGTGACTAGAGTCTTTCTTAAAAAGGTCTTCTTAATTGCCGGTAATTCCTAGCTATTTACCAATCATCCTAGAACAGCGTTGTAATGAGAGTTAAACCTAAGGTAAGTATAAAAATATAAGTGTATGAACTTCAGCTAAAAAGAACCCAACCCGAGAGCATAGAGTAAATAAAAAAAAAAAAGATCACAAGAAAATGATTGGAAAGTAGACAACCTGAAGAGATAAAACACACAGTTTTTTGAGGTAGATTCAAAGTGTTTGGAAAACTACGCAACCTTAATGTAAGACAAACTAAGGTTGATAGTTGCTTAGAAAGCCTGTCTTGCAATATTTCTGTACTTTTTAATCTAATTGGTATATTCTAGTACGAGCATTCGTAATTAAAAAGAACTAATAAGAATGAACTCATTCTCAGTTTCGCGAAAAATGAACCTCATCATTCCCTGAATATTCAGCCAAACTTTGAAACAATCTTTTTTCTGGATTACTTATTTTCCTTTACCTAATTACTAAACATATTACAGGAAAAGAACATGAAAATAATGTGTGTTTTCTAATTTCCGAGAGGTTTGCATGATCTTCTGGCAATTCCGTACGAGCTAAATCATATGACATAGATGAATATAGAAGAATAGAATTTATTTGAAGTTCTAAATACCTGCCCTAACTGATTGGGTTCGGACGACACATTTGGCACCCTGTGATGAACGAAAATAGACAGTAAAAAGTAAACATATTATTTTCAAAGGTATAACGCGCGTCTAGTGGCCATATCAAAAAGTCCTAATTAAACGTTGTTCGAGCCTCGTACCGAGGAAAAGAAGTAAATATTTTTTTAAACACCTAGGCCGTATGACATTCTTGAATTTTTAATTTAATAATTTAAATAAATTTAGTTTACTTAATATCCTGGAAGAGTTCCAAGATCCGATCTCTGTTTTGGGACCGAAGGTAAGATTCGTTGTTGCAGTAGACGCCCCACAACTTTTTATGGAAGCTATGCATCTGTAAAATAGATAATGCGTTTGTTCCGACCGGTTAGCCTCTTATTATCGCAAGAAATGTCAAAGCATCACTGAATATTGAGCACGACCGATTCCGTCAGGTGTTATTCTAAATATACAAATATAATCTTCACACTAACATGGAAACCAATAAGAGAGGCACATTACTTTTAAAAGCAAATCGAATCCTTATTAGAACGTAGAATGCAACTGCGTGATCTCATCTCTGGGGTACTTGTTTACGAAAAAAAACTTTTTTCCTTTTAAAGCCGTGGAACGAACTTCCTACGAGCGACCTTTAATGGTGATAATGATTTAACTGCAACGACCAAAAGAGTATCTTTGTTCAGCCAAGCATATTGACCACAAGCCCGTAATTCAAACAAGCGATTACCAGGAATAGGCTATATACCGAGTACTCTATCGGAACCCGATCAAGCTTTAGCGGGCTGTCCGTCGATAAAAGCTTACGTTCATTCGCCAGTTGTCTCCAAACAAAATAATAATGAATTTATTACGGCAAAATTTAAAAGAAGATCAGCTGTTATCTAATTTCTCCTTTCTGGGCGAACCCTCTATTTGTTTTCGAGCGGTTTTTCAAAAAAAGGTAAAAGGACAATTTCCGTGAGCCACACCAAAAGATCTTAACAGGCTTTCAGGTTAAGGACCTTGAAAATTGACCAAAGTTGCTCGAAAATAATTTTTGAGACTTCTCGATCTTTTATACAGAAACTAAGTGCAGTTTTAGGCAGGATAATATAAATTGCCGGTCGAGTCGTCCACGCAAACTCAGGCCGTCATGTTGAGCTTCTGCACCTGTCAGACTCTTGGCCTGTTATCAACATAAAATCTAAATCCGTTAGATTGTAGCATGTCTGAACAACACTCTAACGAACCTTCACTCAGCAATACCGTTTGACATAAAGCTACTGGATCATATCATATAGATCTATATAGATTATATAGGCCAATATAGATCAAATTGGAGAAAAATATTTTGAAAATAATAGTGAGTGGTTTCTGATAATAGTGAGTGGAAAATGTAGCAGCAATCAAATAGTATTTAGCTTGAACGAACACGACCCGCAGGCGTGACAACTCTAGCACCTTGTTGAAGTATGTGTTTCTGTGTCAATAACTTAAGAAACAACTTGAAAGATACGAAATTTCTGGACCATTTTATAGAGGCTCATTGAATTTACCATTTATCTCAAGAATAGTGGAAAGGCTGAGAAAATATTTAGTAAAAATGTACATTTGCCAGCGTGACCTGTTTTGATGGACAGCTGCTTTTGACTGTAGGCAGAAATACTAGTAAATTTAAGCAAGCCGATAATTTTTTTTATATATTTTTTATATATTTATATATATTTTTTTCTATACATGTACAATTACGATGATTTCAAGCTGTGTTTAGGGCAGAAACTGCCGTGTGGCTTCATTCTGTTAACACTGTAGCAGTGTATGCGGAATTGTCTACCCTTTACAGTTATCTAATATGTCCAATTTGGAAAATGACGTTTATTATTATGAGACTCATTGGCCGTTATTAATTTTCTTAAATCACAATTGCTAAAATTGTTTCTATTAAACTTACAGATTTAGGGGTGCAGGATTGTAATAAATGACGGAGATAAAGGTCTCAATATAGAACACGCTTTAAATGCTTCGGAAATTTTCTTAGCATCTCAATTAACTCATAATTTTATTTTTTTTTCTAGATATGAACGGTTCTTAAAAAGTAGGAGAATAAGCATGTACTCAAGGAAAGAACATTAGATAAATAATGTTTAGACGAATTGCTATCTCATCTTGTTGATAAACGCCGGAATAACTACTACGTGAATACGCAGTGCGAGATTACGTGCGATTCTCTGCGCACGTAACCCGACTAATAATAGTCAGGTACCGGCGTTAGATAAAACAGGTATAAAGCATAGGGTACTGAGCAGAGACCTGTTCTCTTCTCAGTAACCTCTGTCCTTAATGTCAATATCGGTAGTTCGTACTTATCGATAATCGACGTTCCTGTTTCCAGTAAATAATCGTTTTCGTAATAGCTTAGAAATCGATTTTTTTTGTTACGTTTTCGATTATATATTTTACAAAGCAATTTTTTTATTGAAATCGTTATTTGTATTTAGCTAGTATCCATAAGTTAACTGGCTAATGTAAGATTTGAACTGAAAGAAGAAGTTAAAATAGCTTTAATAAAGTCCGTAACTTGAGCAATTCACATACGCGTTCTAGCACAGACACTAGGTACTCTTTTGAGCTGTTCTAGTATATACAACAATAAAACCAAACTACTAACCTGTGTTATCATTAATAGATCATGGCCGGCGTGAAACAACAGGCAATCAAGCAAGAATAAGATGCAGAGAAGTATCATTATATTTGGAAGCAGACCCCGCCGAACAAACAGAAGTGTCCACAAATCTGTCACGAATACATCCAATTCAAACACATCATATCTACATGAAATGATTTCCAACAAAATCAATATGTATAGAATGAAGCATAATGGTAAATATTTTCGCTAACATTGGGCGTGTCAAAACGTGCAGAGGTCATTTATTTACGCCCTTGATTTTAGGGCTAATACTTAAGGTGACACGTATGTATTTTCCCTTTTTCAAGACTATTTTTACTGTCGCTGTATGATAACACAAATGATACTAGGAGTCCCAGAAGATAGAGAACTATCATCAACGGATACGTGCAACTGAAAATCGATGAGCACCCGATAAACGACAGAACGAAATAGTTGGCCACGATCGTTTCATTCTATGGGGCCCCTCTGTAAATCCGTGTCGTTTCTTTCTATCATATTGGATTCGGTCCGAACGAGAAAGCTCTAGGTGGAATCGGCAAAGCCGCTGAACCACACGCCCCCCCCCCCCCCCCCCCCGGTTAAGTCCTAGCCGTCCATTGATCTTCGGCTCATTCGGATGCAAACTGTCGGCACTGCATTGAAAACCAGATTATACCGCTTAATAATATGAGTACGTTTCTAACCAACAACTGCCTCAGCTGATGTTGTTGTAGCTAACTCTCTTGTTAAATGCTGATTATCGAACCTGTTACGTGCGCAGTCGCTAAAGCTTAGTGAAAGCCGCTGGGCAAAGTGGGTTGGGCGGGGAGGCATGTCATAGATCGCTGCAGGGCCAGTGTTTCCGGCAATGCTCCCTCTGTATCTCGAGTCGAACACACGTGCATACTCCATTGAAACGGAGAGCAAAGAGGCGCATGATCGCTACAATGGCGTTTCTACGACGGATAGAACTCGAAAATTACTTTTCATACTCGCACATTATGCTTTCTGATTTCGGGAAAAGGGGAGTTTGCCAAACTACCGACAAGATTGCCGCGTCTAAAAGCGTTCGACGGTTACCAGATTTAGTATATAAAAGCGGTGGATCTCTCTGACATTAGAGCTCCACGACGTGCCACGCCCCGGCACGACTCGCAGCGGTCCCTTTAACGCTTGTAATGGCGCCTTACCGCTGCTGAGGGGTGTCTATTGACGTATGATTAGCTTGAAAAAAAAAAGGTGAGCTTTTTTTTTGCGTGCGATTAACGTGCGATCGGATATGCAAGTAAATACATCGATATAGTGACACAAGGCAGTGAGCAGTGCTTCCCAAGCTATCTCGAACAACGGCTTTAACGAAGCGGGCAACGCTGTTATCAATCCTTACGTTGGACAACCTGATCGCTGTAGACGTACAGGTGATTAAAAGTTACTTATAGTGGGTTATTTACTACCATTTTTAATTTCATATTAGCAGTAAGTATCTATAGTTAATTTTGTGAGGGACTGGGTCTGAGTATATCTTCGATAATGGCAAATATTAATTAAGCACTCACAAGCCGTGCATTGAATTTGGCTAAGCACTGTTTCAACAGACATTCGGTCGCCGAAATCGCGCAGTCCTCTCTTGCAAAAGTTCCACTTATCTCGTATATTACGATGAATTTGCCTCTGCTCTCCAAGAAGCGCCAAAGTTACCTGTAGACAAGTTTAGGGTGTGAAGACACGCTTTAATGTACTGGGAGTCTTATGGTTACCCCTGCTATGCCGCAGAAGCGCTTGTGTTGGCATAATTAACTATTAGATCTGGCCATGAGATATATTTGACCTCGTCATATTAAGAATCAGCTTATGTTAAGAAATTCATCGTCATAGAAATCACATTTTTTGGAGAGAGCCTGCCAACAATTATAACGGATATATAACGGCGTTGAGTACGCTGACGCATCTAATGATATGCCACAGCTGCATCCTTTTGTTTGGCCATGTGCCAATCAGATTAAGGGAACAAGTGCCTAAGCCGACGTTTCCGGTAACAGCTTTCTGCTCCGTAGTGTTCATTTTATGTCCAGGATTACGATCTGGTCTGTTGTTCACGCTTCTAGGCGATCTACTATTTAGTCTGAACTATTCTCTTTGGCTCCACTGTACATTTGACATAGTCTGTGTACTGGGGTTTGCTGGCTAAAAAGAATGGTCCGTCCATACCTCTGCAATACACTCTATTGCTACGTCTTTGTTTCCTAATTATGGTAGCATTTAGCGGCTATATCACAGTCATTTCGATGCGACCTTTCATTCGTCGCTAACTCAATTCGTTTTCGCCAGCATTTCTGTATCCTGATCAATTTTGAACTTCCCTAGCACCGCGTCAATCCGGTCTCAAGAGTTTCCATTATTGTTACTATAGTCTTGCCGCATAGATCAAATCTGAATTGGCCTGCTTATGTGGCTATATGCAATGACGACCAGTGTCATCTGCGAACACTTATCTTAGACACGCCATAGATTACTCTTTTCCAGAAATTTCACTATTTTTCTAGAGTTTGTCTTTGTTTATATGCTTCGACAATATTAAGAGAAGCATCCTACCCTAATCTCTAGCCACTTTTGTTATCGAAACCAGTACATGAATACTAACAGCTCCTTTCCCGTTCACTAAAAGTGGTCGGCTTCTCCATTTATAGCTCTATTCTGCCATGGATGAGCTTTGTGACTAGTCCGTGTTGGACCGCATGTATTGTCATAGGTGGGTAGGATTTAAGGGTATTCATCCTGAATAAAGTTTTCCGCTGCGTTGATAAGGGCTACATTTCCATTCATGAACGGCATTTTTACATTGCTCTCTGCCGCGTACAACAGTTTAGTTTGCATATACACCCCCAAAATTGAGAAATTTATTCCGCTTGTCAGGGAGCAAATGAAAAATCAGGCCGCGCTGTCGTTTTTCTATTCTTTATATTACTTATGTGCAGATATTTTTCGGTCACATTAGGTCGATGCTACTTTGCCTTTTAATGTGGCTGGTTGTGGTTGTTTCTTAATTCTCCCGAGCGCTTTATCAGTCTCTCTCCTCTATGGATTGGTAGGGCCAGTTCAGGCGTTCCACTATGGTCTTTAAGTTCAACGCTATTTCCCGTAGGATTATTACCTTTAAGGTTAGGTATTTTCCGAAGTACCGCTCGTGGAGGCGCGGAATTACCACAATGATACGGTGATCAGTGTCATTGTCTAATATATGATTCCGGTGTAACTTTTTTTCTACCATGTTGAACTGCTCATTAGTTAAGACTCGCTGTCTTAGACAACATCAGATATATATATCTGATGTTGTCTAAGACAATGCGTTGTTGATCCTTCCAGATCTTCCTTTGTACCGATTATAGTTAGTCCGACTTACCGTAAATGATTATAAGGACCGCTTTCTGTTGTCTTAACTTTTTGAGGAAAGCGAAACGCAGGCATTCCAGTTGTCTTCTGACATAATCTGCAGTCGTCGATTTCGTAATTATCAAAATCTATAGTAGTAAATAATTTTATTGATTCTCAACTCTGTATATTGGGAAGCTTCGTCTATATCTGCACACGTAGCATTCATATTTGAAGTGGCGACATGTGCGCGATCTCAACGCTGCCTATTGCTCTTTCCCCTTTTCCAGCTTTGCTTTCGTCCACTTGAACTGTACTCGTTGTCAACGATACCTTCGTATACATTGGTACGTGCATACATATTAAAGCTGACCATTTTTGAATGAAGCTTTATGTTTTCTTTGTTGTTGGTAACTTTCTTGCCATGCGTTATTCGAACCAGCTATGCTTCTGCTGTTATCCTTTCAGTTGCTGTCATTTGGCATAATCATTTCTTTGTGAAGGTAAAACTATGCTGCTCCGTTCGCTGTCGTTGGCGTTGTGTGACTTCTCTTGAAAATGGCGATTCCTCTTTCACATAAGAGCCATACGCCTCTTATTCATCCTTGTTAATGTTTATCGTCCTGCGAAATGTTTCTAGTCTTACATACACTCGACAACTTCGACTTGGTGTCCGCGCTATTTTTACGGCCCCCGAACGCGGTGCAGGGCGTCGTTTGAACTTGCGTGTTTACCGATATATGTTTGAAGCATTTGACTTTCTAGTTCTATTTCCGTCGCCCCCAGGGTACCTTACAGTTTGGAATATAGTCCATAGCTCTGAACAAACAACGTTCTCGGCAATGTCATAGAGCTCCTAAATTTTTTCGCTTCTTAGTATCTGCAGGCGCACGCCAAATCAGACTGATCCTGTAGGTGCAGCCGAAAAACTCTCAGGCTTATCGAAACGCAGTATGACTCTCTTCCAGCTCCAGGTACGCTTTGCCCATTAGTTGCTCGGCTTCCCTGATAGTTCTTTGGCCGCTTTGTTTCGACTGTTTGATTCGTTATTCCGGTGTGGCTCTTCGAGCTTCGACGTAGGCCAGTTGTCCCGAGAGAGCAGCCATTTTATCATTTTTGCCATCTGTCCGTGCCCTCCTGTCCCATTTCTATCTGTAGCTTTGACAACCGCACTGCCACGGGAAGCGACCCCTCTGTTGATTCACTGCGCTGTTTGAAAACAGCTAGTACACGTAAAGGCTACGATTAACACCGTTACGAACAATAGTTTTCATCGAGATTTCTTCCGCTTCTTTCGGTGTGCTTTAATAAGTGCTCTTATGAGGTTATTGAAACTGTTTAAACTATAAAAAGGCCAACTGGGCCTCTCGGGAGCAGATTCAGCCGAGGAGAGCGATCATGGTTCTATTTGGTCATCGGAGCAGAGGTCGATTCGCCTAAACCAGTGAGTAAAGCTGCCCGGTCATGTAAGAATAGGCCTAGCTAACAACAATTGCTTCACAGTGCAGAAATGAGAAGGAAGGAATACCTATGAGGTGCAAATGGCCTCAGTTTGATACAGTTACATGTTACACGTTTGTAATGCATTAATTAGTGTTCATTCATGCATTCAGAATGCATGTTCATGCATTCTGTATAACGTTTTTGTCTGTTGTCACCGTAAAATGGGCATGAAGGGCTATCTCGTCATAAAATATTAGCTGGGTTTAACGAATCAACAGCATACTTGGACAAACCATTACACTAGGTCGATAATAAGTATGGCGGCGCTATCATTATAGAATAATAAACAGATTAAAATCGTTATCTCTATATCCTTCGTATAGGAATCACTACCACCTTCCTGCCATACACTTTTTCTCTAACAAGAAGCCTGCTTTCCCATCTCGGCTTCGGCTACATGTCGTAAGTTTTTAAGAAGCCTGACATCGGACTTTCTGCATTTACATAATCATTCAAATAGTCACTTTACCACAGCAGCGGCATATATAAAACGCATTTTGATTGCGAACAAAATATATGGTAGTTGCTTTCAGTCACAAACTTCTACTTATCATGATAATATTTATTAACCAAGGATAGCTATAGCAAAAAAATATATATTCACAAACTCTGACGTTTATACAAACATCATTTTAGCTAACCTTCGTATCTGAGGCAGCTTCAAGGGCATTGTGAAGGGATGGATCCGCCATGGTGATCTTTTGGATGTTCAAGTCCTCCTGCTGCGCTAATAACGTGTCATACACTTCTTGAACCTGGTAAAACATTATTTGTTTATGTGATTTAACTTAAAACCGCATCATCTATACGCAGATATAAGGTATGTAATAATCCTTAAGTGAAACTATCTAAAATATGAGTCTATTGACCGATATCAGTGCCAGAAGCAGTAACGTCTATTAACATTTGTCGCTATATAGATATACCTGATTGTCGGTTCCGCGCACTTGTAGTACGATGCTTTGTCGGCTAATGTGGATAGTTTTTACGCCAGTAGGAAACGTCTGGATCAGATCCAACAGTCTTAAATTGCTGTAGTTAGAGTTTCCTTGGCGTTCCTCATAGTTTTTTCTCGGTGGCAGGCGAAGATGCAAGACCATGGTAAATGGCATTTCTGCATCCAGAACCAAAACACTGTCTGAGGACGAGCACTTACACAATTAATTCATGTTTTGTATTTACGACACCTACCTATATCGCTGCAAATGATCTGACTCAAAGAAATCAGGCGACTTCGTGGAGAATTTATAATATTGCAATCAATGGAAAATATTCACGAAGTGTGGAATAAACCAAGGCACCGAACGTTTGCGTCGTGAATATTATATATATATATATATATATATACTCTTTACCAAATAAAAAAAAAAGAACATTTACACTGAGAATTTTTTAGCCCTGTGAAAAAAATTTCTGTATTACATATTTATGACATGCAGATTCCATACGGCATGGTCTTATGTTGGTACTATTGTATGGAATAGAAGTGTTGCCGATGTGCACTTCATAGTCGTGCATCTTACGAAGTATTCAAAACTGTTACATACAGAGCGACTGCACGTTCTTAGGACATAACACAGTCAATCGAATAAACGCCACCTACATCATCACATTTATAAAGGATAGATCATGTTTGCTCGTACTCGTACCCTGACCTTTCGAAAACAGATGGTCTCCCATGACCTCCTTATAATACTCACCTAATAGAACGGACACTAACGCTGTCACCGTTCCGCTGAAGACAACTGAGCCATCGAAACAAACATTCACGCGCTCGGACACGGATTCAGCAAATTCCGAATCAGTTGTGATTAATAAAACCGAACGTCTTCGAGCCTCACGTTGAAGTAAAACAACAAGCTGCAATTCAGATTTCAACGAGTGTGTCAAAATTGTACAGCGGTATATGTAATCCTTTTTTCGTTCAAACAGAGTTACCCTTGTAAAAATTGATCTAGCGGCTAAACGATCTGCAGCGCTTTTCCTCTCTGCTAAAGTAGAATATATATGATGCTGGCGCTAACAAAAAAAAAAGATGAAATGAAAATTAATCGCAGCTTATTTACATATTAAGCAGAAATAGATATTACATATTTCAGATATTATACACAGTCACGTAGCAAACGTTTGATTTATGAGCTCAGCTAGTTTATTTAGGATTATGAGTCAAGGAAAGAGGTTGCTAGCAAAGGGCCATGCAATGAACTATTCACATGGTCTAATAATGTAGTTATTCCTTTTCCATGTAAAAAAAAATTGCTTCACTAGACTGTTTTTCATCATATTTACACAATTACATGTGTTGCATGAAAACTTTGTTCTCCTTTAGGAAACTTTGTCCTCCATAATAAAGCCTTGTTTCAAGTAACTGAGTTCTCCGCGTCAGAATAACTGTGTAATATATATATATATATATGAAATTGCACACATTAATACAATACCTATCCATAAAAACCTGAAATGTCAGCACCGACCAGAATAGGTTTTTGTGTAGCTTGTACTTAAGTCGGACGTTTCGAAATACCCTACTACCTATATTCTCAACTCAATTATCTATGGGTGTACTTAATTAAAAAGGTAGGCGACAGATAAATACGAATTTAGTGCCAGGTTGTTCCAATAAAATGTGTAGGTTTATAGTATAACATCCGGATAATTTAAATTTATGGTCTTCTTCCAATTCGATTTTGCAGCTACGGTTTTAATAGTCAGTGAACAATGTAGTTAGACATGTTCATATATAAAATTCAAACAAACCAGTAAGTTGCGAAATGGTTGCAAACAAAATTGTATCGTACTGTGGTATAATTGGCTATAGTCGAAGTAGAAAAAAAAGATACTCGTTTTGTGGTTCTCGCACACAGCGGAGCGAACGCATGTGTACCTTCTTGGCGTCTTCTGGGCTGAGGTCACGCGTTGGTTCCTCTAACACGACGACATCCGATAAGCCAAGAAGCGCTATACCAATGCACGCTTTACGCTTATCACTGTTAGAAAGAATCTCGAACGTCGTTTCCAATGGTGCCTTCATTTCGAGATCCTTCATGAGTGCAGAAAATACCTGTTGAGCATCTACATTGAAAGTCGAAGATTTCCATCAATGACATTTGAAAATGACACGGACATGATTATAATGATCTGTCACTAACATAGGATGCGGTGATATAAAATATAAAGAAATATTGATTTATTAAAGCGTAATCTTTAACGCTTTTCCGTTGTCCTGTTTGAGGCCAACCAAACATCTTTTAACTCAGTAAATAATTGAATTCCGGATAGCAAGTATTGAAAAGAAGCCATTCAAAACTTAATTGACAAAGAATTTAATTTCAATACTTGTATCCACAGAAGGTATATTAGCTCATCTGAATCAATGACTGTTCAAAAGGTAACGTAATACTATCTCAAAAATTTCCAGCAATACGCAAAAAACGGGACGGTAGTTGTTAGTTATTCTTATATCCATTAAAAAAGGTACCAAGCGACAAGTTTATTTCTTAAATTGGAGAAATAATAAAAAACTTCACATAACATCGTTTTGTTCTCGTTCATAAAATGCTCTCTTTGATTATTTTAAACGAAATAGCTTTTATCTCGTACAATACACAGCTATCTGGACTGGAAGATCAGCCTTATAGTAAACTTACCCGTTACATTGCGGGCGCTCATAAAGAACTTAACGTTGTTGGCAATAGTCATTTGATTCAATAAGAAGAAATTGACTGGACACACTGATACGTTGTTGGCAAGACAATCGGGGTCGGCAAGTTGACCGCAGTGAGTTACGAGCCCTTCGTATTTCGTACATACACCTGATAGAATAGCCAGCACAGCGTCACCTACATCACTGACGTCACCGACAAGCGAAACGATCTGCCCACGGGGAATTACCAGGGTAAAATTGTTTAACACGCGATATTTTTCAGCGTTCTCGTACGTGACACCTAGCATCGTCAACGACAGCTTCGTGCCTATTCATTCGAGAAGATAAAAAAAAAAACAAGTTTAAAACCACGTTTCTCATTCATGTGATATACGTCCGCATTTACGTGTAAGCTCATACTCTTCTAATAATAATAGTAAAAAAATATATAGCTTATCTGCATACACAGTGATTTCAACACCTGGCCCCTTAGCACCAAACCTGCCGATAATCGTTATCTCTAAAAGATATACGATTACGACAATCTGCTAAATAAATCCAACTTAATAATCAATTTATCACGAAAGTCGATAACTTTCATTATTAACTGACACATAGTTCAATTATGTCTCTATTTTATTAGGATAGTTCAATATCATTTTTATTACTGATTATAAATTGTCTACTCAGTTTATGCAATATATATAGAGACACTAGGTTGATGGGAAACGTTTGCGTTATTTAAAGCGGTCCCTTCCATTATGGTGGAACTTATATATTCATTATCTACTTTTCTTAGGGGTCATTGGACTTTACTAATACTCAATGAAACATTGGGGGCACTTTCTAACTTTACGATACGCTTAATATAAATGCATCATTCAACTCTGGCACATGTTTACAATTCTAGCTGTCGGCTAAAATTAATTTTCGAGTATAGATTTTATGAATGTATCTAAGGCTTTTATAGATAACATTCGTAGATTATACGCATTCAAAGATTTCATGAATGCATCTAAGGCTTATATAGATAATATCGGTAAAGAAGGGTCCACAAAAACTGATTGAAAAAGATAGTTTTCCAGTGCAGCTATCAAAGAGATTATCTAAAGCGATCATGCTAGTTTCGATCAATGCTAAAAGCTCTAGTTGTTAAATCAAATACGTGACCTTTTTTGTCCCTTTATAGAGACTTGTCGAAAGGCACATTTTCTAAAAGGATTCGAATTATTAAAGCAGGATAACAAGAAGGATATAGAAACAGAATAGAACTGCAGCGAACAGATACAACAAGAAAACATGTAGCCAAGCTATAGTTTAAGTAGACAGACGCAAATAGACATGATAGTTTCCGATACGATATGGCAAGTCTGAAGAAGCGTCTGGCTGTTTATAGCTTTTGGAAATTATTCAGTTCACATAATCTCGATACCAATGTTTAATCTCTACAACGCTCGTATTAAGCCAGCGCATATTTATATTGCTGTACGGTTGACAAACTAGATCATAAATAAAAGTCTCCTGTATAAGTGTCATTATTTTAAACCTTGTCACTAGAACACTGCTATGTAGTGAATCGGATCAGAATCTCAAAAAATCTGGGAAAAATAGCTATCACGGAGAAAGTAAAAATAAATTTTCGCGCGGACGCGACCTTAGAACAAATTTTTTATACGGGTCGTGTCTTAGACAAACGATCATTCAAGATAACCCAGTGGCAATACAAATGCATAACTCTAAAGATTCAACATCAATTTAGAACAAAACTAAACGTAAGCGTTACGAGAATACAATAATCATGTGTATGTACATATTGCCACACGGTGTATTACTTAACAGACTACGAAAGGAGACCGTAGCCGAAATTTTCTAGAGCGCTTTAAAAGGAGCAATAATACACTTCAATAGTTGTGATCTCACTTACCCTTGGTAAAAGTCTGGATCAGTGGCACATCGCTGGGGTCGATGTTGGGGGTTTGCCTACGACAATGAATTCTCCCGGCAAGAGTTGTACCTACCTCAGGCCGAAAGCTTCCGTCACGAATGGGTAAATATGCAACGATGATTGTACCGGTATAGAAGAACAAAGCCCAGAAAATTATAGCAAGCACTGCAGCTCGATAGCTTAAAGTGTCCAGTTTACCTTTTCCGGCACACGCCATGAAGTCAATCGTGTCTTAAACAGTAATAAATACCCATTACCACGCGCAATTCAGCACTAACGGTATCTAATTTAAATAATTATTGATTATGATATTGCGCACGTATCGTGTATTACAGCGACGTTATTGGCGCAGTCTGCCGTTACGCATTTTAGCGTTCGATTTTAGTATCTAACGAGTACTTATGAAATTACTTATACAGTTTGCTAGTTTAAAGTTAAAACTAAGTACTCGTAAGATTAATCAAAGTTCCTTACCGCGATGAAAAAATATAACTGCAAAAAGATGTTGAGCAATAACATTTGAACGGGTTTTCCATAAACGAAAATAAACAACTTCGAAGTCTTTTGACAATACATTTTATTTACCTGCCGGTATAGGGAGATTGAGCTCAGTGGCGAACTTGATGCCAATTTCAAGCGCATAGGATCCCGAGAGCAAAGCAAAAATACTTGTACTACCATCAAGACAAAGTAACGGCTTCTTATAGAAATGTAGCATGTGAATAAGAAGTCGAATCGAAGTTATGGTACCGTAAAAAAATGAGGCGTGTTTACCTGTGTGACCATCAAGAAACAGTGTCAATATTCTCGAAAGAGTCAAACTTACCAAGATTCTTTGAAAATAACAGACTGTATGCGATCCAACAATAGATAATCCATCACAAAATAAATATGACGGCCTATAGTGGATACTAGTTTATGCACAGCATAAACTAGTATTCACTATAGGTTGGACTAATTGCAGAAGTTTTTTTAAAAAATTTCAGCAAAGGTTCGGTCAATAAAAGTTGAACTTGACCCCTCAAACGTCTCGTATGCCCATTGATCGACCCCCAAGCGCATAGCCGTAGTAAACCGCAGTAGTTCCATACAACTACACCGTGTATTTATATTATAACAATAATAAGATAATAATATTGTTTGTAGGTTGATGCATAGGTTTGTGTAGCTATGTTCATCAAAACTGTGGTTTTCAATCCGTTGTTTCTTTATATTATTGGGAAACACTTTCTCTCAGCCCTAACTCAGTCGTTGCAGTGAAGGAAATTGTACATCGAGTTCGGACTCTTTTTCTAAAACGAGTTGTATCTGAACGAAAAAGGCAATTATAAACCTGTTTTGACTCGCATAGACTAGGCGGAGAACGCTATGAACCTAATAGATGCGATTCAGTGATTCTTCGATAAACAACGATGTTTATTACGTGACGTGTTAGTTCGGTAGCGTAAGACTACTGTATTTGTTGCCATCTGAAGCTTCGCGCTGCAGCTGAGCATTGCTTAACAATTTATTTTCGGTTTTCAAGAGGTTCAGAAAGCCAATTTTTGAGGGAACTGTTTCTTTTCGAGGCTTACAATCAACTGTTAAAAGCATTGCAAGATTAATGTATTCGTTAGAAAAAAAATAACAGTATACACTCGGATAAATCAACGCGTTATTTCATAAGTCTATGAGCACTAATATAAACTTACCAAACAGGCAAATGGACCATGTAACAAATACTGCTTCTTGTACGCAGTAAAGTAGAATTATGAAAGCCAAAAGGTCTATTCTGATTTTCGCGGCGAAAAATTCATTTTGGGTTTGTGAAAGACAGGAAGCCATTAGAAGAGGACCCATGATCCACAACTCAAGGAGGATCACCTGGAATATCAAACAGAACTAATTTAGGATCTCAATTTTTTTTGTCTGCACGCTAACAATCTAGTGGAAATTATTTAGGGAAAATAGACTCGATGCAATAATTAGTGCAAGAAAAATAGATTTGAATAATATTTTCTCCGCACCTTTCATTTGGAAGTGCTTAACAAATGCAAATGAAGGCATTATTGGAAAGCTATACCTTGAAAAACGGCATAGGGTTCTATAGTATATTTGACAAATCGTATTGGAATGGCTTTTATATAATTGACATATACATAATTACATACAATTTTGTACCGTTAGGAAACTATATGGTGAATGTACTGTGGTAGTTTTATACAAAAACTGCAGCGTTTAGATATGGAATAAGATATTCAACTAAATTACTA